TTAATGACTTGAGATCTAAGTAATGCTCAGAAATGGGGACCAAGTCCCTGCATTTGTTTACCAATATGGAGAAACTATTTTGTACTCAAATAATTAATGAGAAAGATATCTAAATTCCTGGCAAACCTCTGTCAAACTCTTTGGATGATCCATCTACTTTGAAAGCCTTCTTAAGAGAAAAATAAATGCCATGTGGGTGTATGAGAGAGTGTGTGTGTCTGTGTATTTGTGTGTCTTCTGATACAGCTGTGGGAACAATGGGGCTAGAGTGTACTAATTCATTTCTGTTTTGGTGTGCTGTCTTTATCAGGAGCAGAGGTAAATCTCTCATAGTATTATTGCTACTCTTCTTGAGTAGAGGGAGGCAAGCAATATTTTCTTATAGTGTATTCCCCTTTTCTAAGGGTGTGCTTACACAGTAGTAAAGCTGGTAGAGTTATATTTTTACTTGGAGATGATTTTTCTTTCTTGCCTTCCTTTGCTAGTGAGTTTTTTAAAATAGTAGAAATAGTTATGAACTCTTAATCCTTTTAGGGGAAGGGTTAGAAAAATATTAAATGAATATGTCTGATAAAAGTTGAATGACATGTATTTTAAAAATCAAAATCTTCTTTTTTAAATATGTAAAGGCATTTTTCTTATGTGCTATGAGAGGAGCTTAGCCATTTACTTTTCCATTTTTAGAGACTTTTTTTTTTGCCTGAACTAAGATGTATTAGAGAAGAAGAAAAACATATCCTTAAAGTCATATCCTGGTGTTTTGTAAAAATTTTTGTAACAAAAATTACAAATTGTTGATGTTTCTTTTCATCCTGATCATCTAATATTCCCATGTCTGTGCTGAATCTTTTTATCTTCTGTAGTAAATATTATATGCGGGTGCTCATAAGTCTGTTTTTCAGGGGGCTGTTGATTAATCCCATTTTAAAATTTATATTTATTTTGGAACATTCTGTATCTTCAGACTCTTTTTAGTAATCTATACATTGGTCTCATGTGTTAGCCAGTATCTTTATAGAATAATGCTATTTAACAACCCTTTGATTCAAGCTGTTAATAGATACTATAAAAATGTAAGAATCATTATATTGAAACAATCAGATTAGCCACATATGTTGGTATCTAGTTGATACCAAATGTGGATGCCAGTATGATATATTAGATACCAATTCATGAGGCTAATCTGTCAATGATCTCTAGTAGATATGTGAAAGTGTAATATAGAAGAATGTAATAGTTGCTTCCATGATACCTACCTCTGGATATTGAAGTTCAAGCATCCTCAAATTTTTTTACTAACTTATTATTTATCTGTTATTGAAACTGTATCCTAGTTCTCTTAGTTTATATAATATTATAATATGATCTGAGGCACAGATATCTTAGTTATAGAATCTAAAATCTTACCTACTATTTGATCCTCTGAAAAAAAAAAAAGAGGTTTGAACTGGCAAAAGGTCCTAATGCTTTCCAAATATGTAGGGAATTAGACAGCTGCTGTCCTTGGTGATGAAATTATTTCATGTGAATTCTTAAGGAAAACAACTAGTTAAAAAAGCAAGAAAATCTTGAATATACTATTTGTGGCTACTATTTGTATCTTCATAGATCTGTTTGAACCTCTAGAAAAATATAGACTCCAGTATCTTAAAGTCTTGAGTTCCTGACTGCCAGGCAGAGGAAATGTTTAACTATTCTAATCATGTTTCTGTATCTCAGAAAGAAAGCCCTTATGAAAGGAAATGACAACGTCCTACCACAAAGTTATCTCTTATCAGTTATAGTCACAGTCAATAATGATTTGTCACATTTGGACATGTGTAAAATGCAAGGGCTGTGTTATTTTCTTTGGAAAGGAAAAAATTAGATGAAGCTGATAAAAAAGGAGTCATGGCTTTTGTTAGGAGACAGAAACCATTAGAAACAGTTATTGTTAGCTTAGGAAAGTGTCCTTGGACCCCTTCCTCTGCCCCAGCTGAAACTTAAACCTGCTTGAATCATTCTTTGCAACTTGAGGGGAGGGAGGGTCAAAGAAAAGGAAGAAGTATGAATATAGCTTTGACAGAGAGTTAGCATTTTAAATGGAGAACAAGATGTGGAGCTTAAAACAGATCCATTTCTGTGAGTCAGGAAAAACTGCATTTTCTTCTGATACTCTTCCCCACTCCTATTTATTTAGATTTTTGAAAGTTCATATTTTATTCTTCCAAACATGTAGCATTCCTTCACATCCAATGTATGTTGCTCTTCTCCTTTTGCCTTTCTGTAGTTGTGATTCTTTGTCATTAGTGGCAGCAGAGAAAACACATCTCGCTCTAAGCAACATGAGTCAGTGCATACTTTACATACCTTTATCCTCACAGCACTCTTCTTGGTTCCTCACAGTGTTCATTCCTAGTGTTCCTCACAGAGGGGAGCATAGAGGAAAAATGATTTCTAAATATTAAGCTATTTTGGGAGTAGAGGGAAAGGTTGTGAACAGAAGCCCCATTTTACTCCCTTTTCTTTTTGTCTAGGTTTCTGTATACTGGTTTCAAAGCAGGCAATCCTGTGCGTAGGAAGACTTAACTGGATGATGGTTCCAATGGTTAAGAAATGATTGTGACAATACTTACAAGTCAGAGCACTATAGCCAGTTTGAAGCTTATAGAATGATGTCACAGCAGCTTCAGAGAGAATAGATTTGGTTGTAAATATTTGTTGGAGATGACAAAAAAAAAGGCCTTTGTCTCCTTTTTAAATATATCCACTTTTTAAAATAGTCTGCCCAGATAAACTAGTGTTAGCCCATTAGTAACCAAATGTCTTCGTTATGGGGCCCTTTTATCTTGTTTATCACAGATTTCTAGGGACATTCTCCCTTAACATGGATGTTCATTTTACAAGGATAGGTCTGACATGTAAAAGGGCTAAGGTGTGTCTGAAAAATGGCTACAGGCAGTTTCCTTTTGAGTGAAACTGTGGTTCTGAGACGAAGTTAAACAAAATAAACTACATGAAAAAGAACATACAAACAAAGCTACAATTGAATTTGCTACTCAAAATTAGGGAAGAAAAAAATCTTTAAACTTTTTGTAAATGTATAACGAAGAATTTTATAATAATGAATTCTAAACAAAAAAAGCGTCGTTTCCTATACAGATCAAATTTTTAAATATGTTTTCTTCTTATCTTTTTTCATATGCATGTGTAGTTTTTATGAAGTTTAAATACTATTGTGAATATCATGTTTGATGTTTTAAAATTTTTCTTCTTTTGAGATTGTGTTTTGCTTAGCTGTGGGCTCTGGCTTTTTGGCAAGATAAAAGAAATTTTCCTCATATTTTGGCAAGATAAAATAGGCTCTGGTTTTCTGTCAAGATGAAATAAATTTCCTTTAGCTCTCTACTTTTCAGTCCAAAAGAGGAGACTGTAAAGATGTTTTAGTGTTGTGGTCATTTCAAATAAGAGTGCCTGAAATGATCACCTGTGGATTCTTTGTGTAATTAAGATGAAAATTACTGCCTATTTGTAAGCACAATTTTTGTATGCTTTTTAATCCTACTCTTTTTAAATGGCATGCTGCACATCTGACCATAATTTTTTTTTTCAGTAATTTGCAATGCTCATTAACGCTTCTAAAAGTTTTTAATTTTTTTTAAGTAAAGTTATTCTTGGGACATGGTATAGGATCTTAACCATTTAACTATCAGTGTGCTTACAGAGTGTATAGTGCTACCAAGGAACTTAAATATAGAGATTTAATCTTTGCTCTTATGGATGTGAAGCAGATGAACAGAATAGTTGCTTAATATGGTTAATAAGCTTGAACCATAAATATAAAGGTGTGATGGTTTCAGAGGGAAAGAATCTAGGTGTAGTGCTGTTAAATTTTAGAATTAGTAGATTTCATTTAGAAAAATATCTTGATAAAGCAGCTGTGTCCCAAAAGAAGAAATGAGGTTTACTTTATGAAATAAGGGAAAATGACCTTGTAATTAAGAATCAACCCTGCTCAATTTAGATGTGCCTGCTGCTTATATTCTGATTATATATATGTATATATATTTTTAATATATATATAAAGTTGTAATTATAATATATATATATATAAATTAGTTACCAGTGTTACAGTAAAAATTCAGGTAGGTCTTTATTTTGATTATTTCTTTATGCTTTTTTCTGTTTCTTGTTTTATTCAACATTTACTTTCAATATTTCCTTTTATTCTTGTTAAACCCCTATAAATGAGCTGATTGTTTTCTTTTTCAACTGAGGAAATCAGGGCCAAAGTATATTGTAAGTTACTCTTGTCAGATCACATAGCAAATCAATTTTAGCATTGAAACTAGACTCCAGTTCTTACCTGATTTTTTTCTTTTACTTTCTCTTTTGATATTTAGATTTAATTAACATACACTATTCACATTAAAATCTGTTGGTTACCTCTTGGTTTGACTTTTTCATTATTGTCTTCTTTTTCACAGAATTTCCCCTCTTTTTGTAGCATATTTCTATATTTGATTGCATGCTGACAGGTATTGATGAATTATTGTGCTCTTCAGAAGTTGGCTGACAGGCCATGATTCATACTGTTTGGGAAGTTTTTTTTGACTACTAAAACTTAGTTTTTTATGTAAACTATCATGTCTTTTAGGAAATAAAGTCATCATGAAAGGTGCTTTCTCACATTGTTCTTATTTTCCCTTTAGAGTCCCATGGCCAAAGATGTATCTCTAAAGGCAAATGCAGGATTGGTGCCACCTGTTTCTCTTCTCTGCTACCAATCTTTGTGGGCTTTGTCCCAGCGTTGGTGTATATCTTCATAGTTTATTAATCCTATGGGTAAAACATAAGAACTAGGTCTTTGGAAACCTATTTTTTTGTTTGTTTGTATTTCTCACTTATAATCTAGAGCTGGCCTTTATAAAAAGAACGAAACACTTGAGTAGTAACAATTAATGTAGTTGTTCTTAATAGCATTGTTTGAATTTTTTTTTTTTATAATTTTATGTTTGCAGGTACCCGGGGCCCAAGATTTGGTGGATTTTTCTCCAGTTTATCGATGTCTACACATATACTCTGTCCTGGTGAGTCTCTATCCGGCTCTGCCTAATAAAGATGTACATTGAGTTCAAAATTTTGCTTTTTCAATTTTTGGTAGGTTTTTGGTTTATTATTAAGAGTGAGAAATGAGAAAATTCTTGTTGTTCATTATAAAAAACGATTCATTTGTTCTTGAATCTTTTATGTTTTTATGCGATATGCTATGGCTAGTGACATTTCTATCAGTCATCAATAAATCAGTAGATTATAACTAGAAGTAGTCATACACATCCAGATTTCTGTTTTTAATTTAATAACATGCTTATTTAAATAACAGTATTCTGTCTTTACATATAAAATAGTATTTGTGAAAATGTTTACTTTTTTATTTCTAATGACAATTATTCCTTTTGTCATATCAAGCATATGAAAAAGGGAACCTCTCTGTGTGGGGGATATTATAGATGTTAATAATATTCTAAGAAATAATCCCTTTCTCCATTTTGGTAGTGCACTCACATGAAGACACATAGTTACATAGAAAGTGAATAAAAAATTAAACTCTGGTATCAACTGAGACAAATTGGTGAGAGCAGCCCATTATTGATTTTTTTTTTACAGAAACTTTCAATGATGCTTATATCAGGTTGTTTTTGATATGTTCAAGTATGTCTTATTGACCAGTCTCTTATCAATTCTCTTTGTTAATACATATATACAAACATATATAAGTATATATATGCTTACATATATATATACACACACATACATACATATATGTATGTATATATATACATTTTTTGAGACAGAGTTTCACTCTTATTGCCCAGGCTGGAATGCAATGGGGACAATCTCAGCTCACTGCAACCTCTGCCTCCAGTGTTCAAGCAATTCTCCTGCCTCAGCCTCCCAAGTAGCTGGGATTACAAGCATGCTCCACCATGTCTGGCTAATTTTGTATTTTTAATAGAGTTGGGGGGTTTCTCCATGTTGGTCAGGCTGGTCTTGAACTCCTGACCTCAGGTGATCCACCCACCTCTGCCTCCCAAAGTGCTGGAATTACAGGCATGAGCCACTGTACCCAGCCTTTTTGTTCATGTATTTAACAAAGTGTCACTTGGTGATTACTCCTGACATTTTGGGATACTGACCTGTGGACTTCATGGTCTGAAGTATTTTGTGGTAGTTTTATTAGTTTGATAAAAAATCAGGTAATTTCCTCTTCTCTCTTCCAGTTCTTCATCTTCTTCTCCTTTCTTTTTCTCTCTCCCCTCCCTTTACACTCTCTTTCTCTCTCTCTCTCTACCATTTAGTTTTTATTTTTTAAATAGGCAGTTAAAATAGCGAATATGAAAAATAATGTGTTATAATGTGATTTTTGTATTTACATTTGAATATAAGTAGACCTAACTAGTATAGATGTCCATACTAGGATCATTCTAATAGTGGAGAGGCATTAGAATTGAATTTAATATGCGCTAGCAGCAATTTCTCATAAGACATTCTTTTTGTTCTTTGGTTTTATAAAGAAGTCCTGAATATTTTACTACTAATGTAGCATATACACATTTAGAAATTTTAAAGTTACAAAAAGTAAATAAAACAGAAAACATGAAAGTAGAATTATAATTGCCTACAATTTCATACCTAGAGCCATCATTATTTAGGTTTTATGTATTTACATCTAATGTTTTCAGACTTTTTAACAAAATTGAAATATATTGTCTAATATATTACAATTAAAAAAAACTTTTATTTTAGGTTTGGGGGTACATGTGAAGGTTTGTTACATAGGTAAACTCATGTCATGGGGGTTTGTTGTACAGATTATTTCATCACCCAGGAATTAAGCCTGTACCCAAAAGTTATCTCTTCTGCTCCTCACCCTTCTCCTACCCTCTCCTCCCTCAAGTAGACCCCAGTGTCTACTGTTTCCTTCTTTGTGTTTATAAGTTCTCATCATTTAGCCTCCACTTATAAGTGAGAATATGAGGTATTTATTTTTCTGTTCCTGCATTAGTTTGCTGAGGATAACAGCCTCCAGCTCCTTCCATGGTCCTGCAAAATACATGATCTCATTCTTTTCTATGGCTGCACATGTGCCATTCTTGTTATATAAAGGTGAAGCCAAATGTAGATTGAATTGTATCAAGGCATCTAAAACAAGCAGACAATTTTTTTCAATCACAGGTATAGATAAGAAATAATATACATCTTAGATTGTGACACTCTATATCACTTCATAAAGGCCCCCCCCTTGTATCTTATGTTGTTTTGTTATATTTTTTCCATCCATTCACTGTTTATAAGCCCAGTTGTCTCACATCTCCAAGAATACTAACACTAATATATGTAATATGTGGTCTTAGATGTGTCTATATCCTTGAAAAATATGTAATCATTTGTATATGTATGTAATTTTAATTTACTCAAATGCTATTGTGGTATGGATCTAGTTGCCATTTCTCTGGTTATTAGTAAAAATTGTGCTGTTCCTTATAGACTAGTGGTTCTTTTTAGATTTTTCTTCCATAAAGTGCTCATTTTTAACCTTAGTTCAATTTTTTATATTGGGTTTTTTGTTTGTTTCCCCTCTCTTCTGAAAGAGAAATTTCAGAGATTTCTCATATATTGTAGATACTGACAGTTTAGAATGTTAAAAATGTCTTTTTTTTTTTTTTTTACAATTTGTCACCAGACTCTAAACTATGTCTATGTTATGTTCAGTGAAACAGAAATATTTAGTTTTCATGTAATCACATTCATCAATTTTAACCATATAAGTTTATACTTTTGAGGTTTTTTTTGAAACTCTTTATCCTGATGTTAGAATATTCCCTTTACATTACCTTTAATATCTTACCATTTACATTTTCATCTTAATCCATCTTTGGTTCATCATTATGTATAAGGGTGCTTTAGAAAGTTCATGGAAAAAGGAAATTAAAATATAAAAATAAAACATTTAAACTTTATTTTTCAACAGAAGCTCCATCAAGTTCAAGACACCTTTGTAAGCAATTACACCAGCCATTTAGTCCATATCTATGGACTAAATGAGGTCCTAGAAATTGAACCATGTCAAGGTAGTCTTTAGTACATTATTAACTGAAGAAAAATAGTGGCCCTTTAAAGGGTTTTTTTTAAAATTAATAAACAAAAAGAAGTTACAAGAAGCTAAATCAGGACTGTAAAGTGGATGTCTAATGATTTCCCATTGAAACTCTTGCAAAATTTCCCTCATTTGATGAGGGGAATGAGCAGAAGCATTGTTGTAGTGGAGGAGGACTATATAGTGAAGCTTTCCCAGGCATATTTCTGCTAAAGTTTTGGCTAAAAGTTTCATAATAAGCAGATGTTATTGTTCTTTGGCTCTCCAGAAAGTCAACAAGTAAAATGCTTTCAGCATTTCAAAAATCTGTTGCCTCAACCTTTGCTCTTGACTGGTCTGCTTTTGCTTTGACTGGACTACTTTCATCTCTTGGTAGCCATTGCTTTGATTGTGCCTTGTCTTCAGGACTATACCGGGAAAGCCACATTTCTCTTCTGCTACAGTTCTTCAAAGAAATTGTTTTAGTTTGTTTCACACTGCTATAAATAATTCTACCTGAGGCTGGGTGCAGTGGCTCATGCCTGTAATCCCAGCACTTTGGGAGGCTGAGATGGGTGGATTGCTTGAAGTCAGGAGTTCAAGACTAGCCTGGACCACATAGTGAAACTCTGTCTCTACTAAAGATACAAGAATTAGCTGGGCGTAGTGATGGGTGCCTGTAATCCCAACTACTCGGGAGGCTGAGGCAGGAAAATCACTTGAACCTGTGATGTAGAGGTTGTAGTGCTACTGTACTCCAGCCTGAGTGACAAAGTGAGACTGTGTCTCAAAAAAAAAAGAAAGAAAAAGAAGAACACTACCTGAGACTGAGACTGGGTAATTATAAAGGAAAGAGGTTTATTTGACTCACAGTTCTGCAGGCTTAACAGGAAGCATAGCTAGGTGGCCTCAGGAAACTTATAATTATGGTGGAAGGTGAACGGGAAGCATGCACCTTCTTCACAAGGTGGCAGGCAGGTAAGAGAATGAATATGAGGACAGGAAAAACTGCCATTTAAAAACTCAGATGGTGTGAGAGCACTCACTATCATGAAAATAGCATGGAGGAAACTGCCCCCATAATCCAATCACTTCCCTCCTTTGACACGTAAGGATTATAGTTTGAGATGAGATTTCGTTGGGGACACAGAGCCAAACCATATCATAAATGGTTCAGAATCTTGATTCCCCACTTGTTTAAAATTTCCATTGAAAGTGCTCTGCTCTTTTCTGCAGCTGATCTGAGTGCAGTGGTTTTGCATTGAGTGGAAAATTTGCTTGACTTTATTTTTCAGGGAAAATTGTGTAATCTAAAGCGAGAAGTCTATGGTATTGGCTATTGTTTATACTGTTAATTATCAGTTCTCTTCAATTAGGGCACAAACAAGATTGTTTTCTCAAAAATTGATGTGACTGGTCTGTCATTGCAGGTTTCATTTCAACATTGTCTCATCCCTTCTTAAAACAAGTTATCCGTTTGTAAGCTGCTGATTTCTTTGGGGCATTGTCCTCATAAACTTTTTGTAAAGCTTTGGTGATTTCATCATTCTTCTACCCAAGCTTTACCATAAATTTGATATTTATGTTTGCTTCAATTTTAGCAGTTGCTCCAATAGAGGCTCTTTTCAAACTGATGTCTTATCCTTTTTAGTACCTCAAACTAGATGCTATTCAGACATATTACAACAAATTAGTAGAAGCTTATTTTGGTGCAAAAATATTTTGAAATCCATGCATAGTTTGTTCAAAATATGCATTTCCCTGAACTTTTTGAAGACCCCTTGTATAATATAGGGCTTTATATTTTTCCATATGATGGGTTCAGTTTTATCATTTCCATCTACTGTATAATCTGCATATCACTCAGTGATGTCTGCTAGTACTCTGGCATATACTGAATTTCAATATTTACATGGTTTTGTTTCTGAGCTCATTTTTTGTTATATTAGATTT